TTATAATGAGAAGGATAAGACATTTGTCTATCAGGAGGAAGGGACAGCAGTCTTTAAGTTGTACGCGGTGCACTCGGGGCATGAACCTGGCCCTTTGGATGGGAATGCGAGGATAATACATCGAGTTGTTGGGCATAAAGGAGGGTTCTTGATGGATCAGGAAACAGTGTATGGGATGGGTGATGAAGCAGAAAATGAAGACTTTGGGTTCCTTGTGAAGGATGGTGGAGATCTGCAACATTCGATTTTGCAGCAAATGCAGGAAGCAAGGAATGAGATTGGGCTACTTGAGGGCCAGATCGGGAAAGTTCCTCATGAGTTATTGTGCTCGGTATCTCGTGAATTGTTTGATTTTGTGAATAAGCTTAGGCATGTGAGAGAATATGGATCAAAGTCAGTTGGATTGCTCTCAGATAAGCCGATCTCGGATGATCTCTTGGTTGGGGAAAATGATTTGGCAGATTGGGGCGCTCATCATCATCATCATCGCATTTATGAGGATGGTAAGGATGCAGAGCTCATCGAGGAAGATGAAGACAGCTTCGGGAGGACACTTGGGGAGGTTGCATCTTGGGATCAGATAAGGCCAGGTTGTAGGAACGAGAAGGATCTACTGGGTGAGTCTTGTAAATCAGAGAAACCATTGGAATGCAATGAGTTTGATCAGAAGCGCATTCTTGAATGTGGGAATTCTAAACTGACCAAGCCCTTAAGGCATGATGAGAGTATAGATACAGATGTAGGTTTCGTTGTAGAGAACTTCTACCCAGAGAACCCTAAATGGTTTGATTCGCCCTGTGAACTGGACTCCGGCACAGATTGTGGTGACAGCGGATTCAAGCCTGGGGAGATTGTTTAGAGATCTTACAGCTGGTGACCCACTCTAACTTAATTCTGAGTCTTCTGTTCCATTTTTCATACTCTAATGTTAGAAGTGGGTTGTATATTTGTGTAAACAAAAGGTTGAAACTTCTGGCAACCTCTTTGTTGTCTTTGCTGTTGTAATTCTGTAAAGTACAGCCTATGGGCTTCTTTGCACATACATTAGATAGTGATTTGACTTGTCATAAATTTTCAAAACTTCAACTTCGTTTTTCATATCTGAGTTAGTGGTCACCTTTATTATCTTGCATTTATAGTATATACTGCTGCTCTATTGATTTTATTGCTGAGATGATATAGCAGAAATTTTATTGCTGAGATGCATATAGCAGATAATTACTGAATTGTGCTGCTTTTTTGTCATTGTAATTATTGTAAAACTATTTCTATATGCAGTCTATTATAGAAAAACTGGGGTTCTATAAAAAAATACTACTAAACCATTGTGCATATATCTGTAGAATGGTGTTAAACAAATTTTGGGAAGTTCCGAAAAGGAAAGAGTGTCACTTAAATCTGAAAAGAGTAATATCTAACTAATACGGTAGATCACAGGAGACTTGTTCCACAATAACTTTTGGCTTCAAGAAGCATTACCTTCTTTGTTCATTCTTCGTATAACTCATTGAATCGAAAGTCACATTTGGCCTTCAATTGTGCTAAAACCGAAAGTAGACCTACTTATTTCCTAACTGACATACTTATCTTTAAAAAACGGTATACAACTTTTGATTTCTTTGCAAACTATTGATGGTTAAGTAAAGAATAAGGACGGTTATAATTTGAATTTCCAAATAACAAGCAAGATTGGCTAAATCTGTTTCTGTTAGCTGTATTAATTTGGGATTGAAATGGTCTCCTTGGAAAAATCTTCTCGTGTGTATTAAAGAATGCACTCACAAGCGTTATAAATATTTATGTGTTTCCATAAGCAATTGGTAGGTAGCATTTGAAGAAAAAGCTCAGAAGACATAAGTTGGAGTTGCCTCAAAGATCTGTGCTTCAAACCTAGAGAATCATAATGGAACATCCCGTGCCGTTCCACAGTAAAATCAGTTGTTGCTGATACCTTCTTATCTTTTCCTCCTTCCACAACTAGAGCTCGGACATTGACAAAATTGTTTTGAGAAT